ACACGTTGTAACTACTAGCTGTCGATGATACGCAATTTAGCAATTCGAGGTCGCGGTACTTGATTGCACTGTTCCTTTCATCGGAGATGCAGCGAGAATAGCAATTTCAGTTTTCTTCGACGATACTCTGCTATTAGGTATCGATATAGCAACTAGGAAAAGCGGATCGAGTAGATCGTTCTGAAGTTATGCCTTCTGAGCTTGGTAGAGCGTATGTCCTTGCATTTACTTGTTCGTTTTTTGATTCGGAACAACTTTTTCCTTAGCGACAATGTTGTCCGAGGCTTCGTTGAGAAGATATTAACAGAAAGACCTCGACCAATCGGAGCGCGAGTACCCCGGTGGGCGGTAGCAGTGGGCGTGGCAATGCGCTCTGATTGGTCGGGGTTTTCTGTTGATATCTTCTTAACGAAGCCTCAGACAACATTTTCGCTGAGGAAAAAATTGCTTCAAGTCACCTCCCCGAACCATCCCTTCCAAGGACCTCCAACATTTTTGGGACACCCTGTATAATTCAATATTTAGATATTAAAAAAAAAAACGTTTCTTTTTTTGTCCAAACAAAGAAATAAAATTATTTTCCGAGCAAACTCGTACAATGTATAAATTATGCCTCCAATACAAGAGTTGCCAATAATTGAGAATCGAGGAGCCTAAGGACTAACAGTTTCCTCCAAAGAATTCGAGAAAATCGCGGTCCGTGAATTACCAAAGCTGCTTTATTTATCGATCCTCCCTCCTCCCCATTTACATTAAAATCTCGGCGATGAAGAAGACTCGGTCCAGCGAATTCGCGAAGCATAGATCACAAGGCGGAATTGGTTTAAACCGATTAAAAAAAGAATGTTTCCGGGAAAGGGCTTTAAACTCGCAGGAAGAGAAGCGTTCGTCGGGGCCGAAGTTTGCGCAACGTTTCCTCGGAGGCCATACGAATTGCGTTAATGAACGCGGCCCATAAATCGTCCAAGAAACTCCCGGAGTTCTTCCAGGACACGGGAAGCTCCTGTTTTGCCTGGCAGAAGCGTCGCGCAATCCGATTAAAAACTGCAACATTAAAGTTTGTTTTGTAGCGCGCACGAACGCGTAATTAACCTTTAACGCGGCGAGTAGTTTTTCTTGGGTCCGCGACATCTGCTAGCAACGTTAAGTGCGAATTATATAAGAATGACTAACGGCCGCGACAGCCTGCAGGCGTTTCTCGCCCGAGACACCGGCGATAGCCACTGAAAACACATGCGAGCAATTACGGAATCGATTTATAGTTCGCAACGGGGGAATCGCTAACTGGCCGACGAAAGTGTCACGCGTGTTGTTCGAGAATTCGCGGCTGGTACGCGTAGCGCGATTAGCGGATTTTAGAATATTGAATGTTTGGAAACGGTGACAAGGAAGTTCGGTATTTAAAAACAAGTTCCGAGGTTCTTCAACGTTTACGTCTTCACTTATCAATGCTATTCAATTTTTTCTTGATCGGACAAATTACGCATCGTATTCCTAACATCAAATTTAATTTCGTCAGATGAATCGATAATTTTTTTTCGACCACATAACCACCTCAATAAATAACTCCTTAGAAAGCAAAATATTTCTGTTAATTATCCACTCTCCACATTGATAAAACAATTCATATGGAAACTATGTATACACCCGACGAAGAGTCCTCGCTTAGGATTAAACGAGTACATAAAGTCTCTTTTCGAATCCTAGAGGGTGGAAGCATAAATAAACGTTTGGGAGAAAAATCGTCGCGGTCGTTCCCCGGTTTTCCGGCTGCGGCAGATAAAAACGGGGCGGGGGAGGTGAGGCTGGCGAACAGTTAATAAACATGTGCCGGCCTCGGGCTCGATTTTTCCTCCTTCGTCGGTTCTTGCGCAACCGTAAATCCTTGACGGCGCCGCCGCGTTTTCTCATTTAGCAGCGAACTTATCGCGCCGCGTCTAATTGATCCTGGACAGCCCGTGAAACACCGGCTGCCCCCCTCGCCGTTGCCTCGAACCGCGATCTATCGATCACCACCTGTTCCCACTCGCTTGTTTTCGCCGCGCCGAACGATTCCACCGATCCACCTACTCTTCCTCTAACGTGTTAGCGACGACTCGACGATGCGCATCGCGTTAAGGAAGGCATTCTAATCTGACGCCTTTGAACCACCAATCGTTTTTCACGTTTTTCTCGTTGATAGAGACGTCAACTGCTCGACTCCAAGGGATCCGTTCAGAATTGCGACAATAGAGAAGGTGTTGATTTTATTTTCGGCCGTGTAACGGATGTTGGCGACGGTTAGACTTTTCAAGATTTGATGAAACTGAGATTGTATTTGGGAAATAGGTGAATCTCTATTTATTTTTATTGAAATTCATTCATGAACGCAATTATATAAAAATGAGTGCCATTTTCTATATCCTAATATTCTGTAACCTTATTTCTGTCCCTGAATCTCCATCTATTTTTATTAAAATTCATTCATGAACACAATTATATAAAAATGAGTGCCATTTTCTATATCCTAATATTCTGTAACCTTATTTCTGTCCCTGAATCTTCATTTATTTTTATTAAAATTCATTCATGAACCCGCTGATATAAAAAGCAACGCTCGTTATCATTTTCCCATGGTTAGTAAATTCCAATAAGAAAACGTAGCTATTTCTGGTATTTGAACAAAACATTTACTCACGCTTTTGGTATGTAAGAGTAAACGTCTGGCGGCACAGGCTCGAATGCCAACGATAAGCACGTTCCGTTGCTGGAATTTATTATTACAACTTATGACCAGAATTTGTGACCATTTATAATCAACTTGTGACCAGAATTATCACGATACTGTTACATGATAGTGTTACATGACAGTGTAACACGATACTGTAACATGTTATTGTAGCATGTTACTGTAAAATTTTACTGTAATATGTTACTGTAATATGTTACTGTAATATGATAGTGTAATACCACGTTATTGTATCATGTCACTGTAACATGATAGTGTAATACCGTGTTATTGTAAAATGTTACTATAATACCATGTTACTGTAACATGATACTTTAACATGATAGTGTAACGTGATACTGCAACATGATGGTGTAATATGTTACTGTAACGTGGTACTGTATAAATTACGTCACGTTGGCCACGGTTACGTAAACTTTCGTTACAAGTTGGTCACCGTGCAAATGACTTTTTCTAACTCGGCTGAACGCAAATGTGTTCATCACGTAACCGTGCCCCGTGGTGCGTTTACACGAAACCATGAAAACAACGAGTACGTATCGACCTCACCCCCGAAACCGCCCAGTGGCTCCTTCGAGCCGCTAATCAAAGCGAAACACGTGATAATTAATTACTTTTCATTTGCAATGGACCCATTATTCCGCTCTGCATTTCGCATGATGGGTTACGTAACGGTGAACGTTACGTGTGCCGACTCATTAGCGTGCTCGTTACTCGTGCATTAAAGTTTCGACCGACGTTAAATACGTGGAAGAGACTGACAAATAAACTTAACAAATAAACAAATAAACTAAATTTTTGATACGAAACACACGCGATACCATGGATAAGTTTTCATAAGTAGGTAGACGTCCTTTATAAATTACAAACAGTGCATTCTGTATATATTTTTTTAAAACATTGTAAAATCTCTTGGATCGAACCTTAATGTGTGTACAGAGTGTCCCTAAATAATACATGCACTGTTATTTCTTTTCTTCTTCCACTTGAATATTAATTATGTTCGAATGAAAATTGAAGTCATAATCATACGTACTGTGTATGTATACATTTTTTTTAGGAACACACTGTAACTCTTTCTGTGACAGTGATTCAATACATGGAACATCGCTGAGTCCAACCCTCATACTTTTATATAGAAAACTCCTTTATGGTTTAAGATAAAATTAATAACGGTACTTGTCAAGTAAAATTTGTTCTTGACTCGTTAGTAAACCACGATATTTTCCACGAATCGAAAGAAACCGGAACGATTGGAATAATGTCGCTACGGACCCATTGGAAAAAATAATATATATATAAAAGTCGAGTGAGCATTAACTGGAACAAATACATCGAGTTTTTCAAGCGGCCCGTGAGTTCGCCATTCGATTACAATAAAACACTGATTACTAGGGGCTAGCCAGCCGATGAATTAAAACATTAAAATGGAAAACGGTATTCAGGCCAGAGTGAAATGTTTGTTATCGGAGAATGGGAGTTTATTAACTCCATAAATACGTGCCACTTCAACGGCGAAACGATCGAGTTATCGGCTGGCCGAAGTTGGAACCGTACGTTCCCAAACAAAACGGATCCCCGGTTGGTACGTACACGTTTACGCGACTTCCGCGACTTTTTGCAGATGGTAGCGTCACGAATTCGCGTACATCACGTCACTCGGTTAATTAGCAATTACACGCGTATACGCGTGTCTCGGATTCCAAATTAGTAGTTCGTGCCTGATGCGCAATGATAAATCCACGTCACACGCGTAGTGGCTCGAGTGTAACGTAATCGAGACGATGTTGAATGTACATCATTCGTCGAATAAAAACAGATCTACTTGATTTTATTCGATAAATAATGTATGAATATTTTTTATTTCTCATTGAGTGCTTAAAATTTTGATATAAATAAAGAATCAACAGCTTCGAAGATACACCGTTGGACGAATAAACATAATCGATCGTTATTCAACGAATAAAAATAAATTCACCTATTTCTACCTAACCAATAACACATGAATATTCCTCATTTTTCTTTCAACGCTCTAAATTTCGATTAAAATCAAAATTAATCTCATCCCCCGCCCCCCAAGTCAACATTTTGTACTCGTTCGAAGAATTTGGTTCTTTCAAAGCACAACGAGAATATCTTCCTACCCCTAAGCATTATTCGCAGTCGCTCAAGCTACTCCCGGAGCGATTTTTACGACTTCCCGAGACCGTCGCATCTCGAATCTGGAATCCGACGCGAAACAAAGATAAATAGAGAATGTTTATCCACATACCCGGTGCGCGCAACGGACGAAGACCCGATCCAAGGGCGACTTGGAGTCCTGAGCCTTGGTGGTCTTCTCCTTGCACCACGCTTGGCCCATTTTTCTTCTTATCCCGCTATTATCGCTCCACGCCCGCCACGCGGCACTGCCCTCGTCGTTTCTTCCTCGATGCGACCCTTCTCTCACCGATAACACCGGATAATGTAGGCCATCTTAAGACCCGTTCCACGTGACCTGCCGCAACCGGTATGCCTCCTCTCTCGGCTCCGCCGTGCCCACCGGCTCTCGATCAGGCGTTGTTCGTCGTTGACCTTTTCACGGACCGCTGCGAACAAAAATCGGAGGAATCGGTAACGGTTCGAACTTCGTCGCTGTGTCTCCCGAATTTCTTCATAATCTCCAAAATATTTCACGAACGACCGAGTAATCTATCGTTTTAATTTTACGCGCAAATATGTTTGCACGATATTCTGGACAAACGAATAATTTAATATTTTTCAAATTTAATATTATCAAAATCAGATAAATTTAATATTTATCAAATCAAAGTCTCTCCGACGCTCTCCGAGTGTTAAATTTCGAACGCTTCTACGTGCCACAAATTCGAGTACGATCCTCGAACGAGAAAGCATCGCGACTTTCTCTCGCGTTACATTCAGAAATTAATAATCGCGCGCGTTATGGTAAACGGCGCCGCATAGCGCACTCCCAGGCGTCCGTACCGAGGCTCGCGTTGTACCTTTTCCTGAACGGGTGACCTTCTGTTCAATGATCATCCGTTGAATGCCAGAACACACCCTTTTAACGGTGCATTACAGCGACGCGTAACGTCACCGCCGCGTCGGGCCAATTGTCCCCGGTGAACTGGAATTCAACGTTTCGCGCTAATTTCCGTCGACTCGTAAAATGTACGCAGCCACGGTGCTCGACGAATCGCGGCGAAGATCGAGGAACGAAACACGGGAAACAATAGACCGCGAAATCGCGATGCTTCGACCCATCGAACGTTGTAAATCAACCGCGTATTTGAAAGTCGGCGTACTCTCGTTACCATAAACGCTCGACGGATCGTATTTCAGCGCGACGAACGGCCCGGCGCAAATCCTCTGATGCAAGCCGCGTAACAATGAAAAATACCAGAAATATTCGAACTCCTATAACTCAATTTCGAACGCCGCCGAACCCGGGAAACGTCTTTGCTTGAAAGTTATGTATTCAAATGTTCCGAATGAATTTTATTTTCTATAATGTGTGTTTATATCGGATACTCGAATACGTTGATTTTGTATGTTGGTATATATTGACATAGATCCAGGAAATTATCGATATGATTCGACGAATTTCGTAATTTCTACTTTTGAAATTGATGAATTGAATGGAATTATTCATGAATGAAGGTTGAGGTATTATTCCTGTAATTTAACTCATTCATCATTCTAGCAGAAACTCGGATAGAAAATAAGACATTAAACAGTTTTAGACTCGTGTTTACTTCAGACAGTGAAAGTTTCCTTATTCAAGGCTCTCGAGTCGCTCACGAGGAACGATAGAAAGTCTTCTTTTCCTGCAGACTTCGAACTGAAGATTTTCCCGCATCCGAATGACTCGACAATGAGACTAGGAATAGTAGAAATAAATTGATTTGTCAATAATATCGATTCTCTGTTACGGAATCGATGGACACTGGGATAAGCTGCCGTACTTCGTGTCATTATAGAGTTTGAGTATGCTAGTCAAAGTTTCACAAAGAAGAAACATAAATATGGGTATCATGAAAAGATCTAGACGAATGCGTCACTGGAAGGAAATAAACATGAATGTCGTGTGATTTAGCGATCGAAATTGGTAGATACTGAGATAAATTGTCGTATTTCGAGTAATTTTAGAGGTTGAGTATGCTAGTCAAAGTTTCACGAAGAATCCATACGAACATCGCATCATTAGAAAAAATAAACACGATGGACACTGAGATAAACTGTCGTATTTCAGCGATCATCTACCCAATCGCTCCCAAACATCCTCAAACCTCTTCCAAAAGATTCC